GGGGCCAGGGGATGGTGGCAGCCTCGGAGCCGCAGCACTGCTGGGGCAGTGCTGGGCACCCCTTGCGTGGGGCTCCCTGCAGAGGGAGCCTGAGTTACAGCCCTGCCACTGGTGCTGCAACAGCCCGGCTCACTGCAGGGGACCCAGCGCCCCCGGCACGCAACTGCCATCGAAACCCCAGCAGAGAGGCTTGGTCATGGTGGCTGCTGGAGGGTCTGCCCTGCTCAGGGCCCTGCTGGTCCACCCCAAAGGAGGCGGCAGGGGCATGCTGCAGCAGGCAGAGCTTTCTAACAAAGTGCTTGCTCTCTGTTCAGTTTGTCAAAGCCATTTATCAGGAGGCAGACACAACCCTTTTTTCCCCCCAGTGCTGCTGACCCATGGTGGGATGAACTGCACACAGGTATGTTTTTAGCCTTCAAAGGTTAAAAGCTTGCTTTTTGGCCAGCAAAGCAGACTCCAAGCACACCTACCAGTTTCTGTTCTCTGACTTGGGATTAAGCATATTCCACCTTATGTTCTGCTTGCTGGGCAGAGATATCAGCTCACAGCCCTGGAGCAAAAGACAAATCCTCAGGAAGAGCAGCTGCTCCAGCTCCCAACTTCTTCAGCCCTGTGTGCTGGGCAGAGCAGACAAAAATAGGTCAGCAAAGCAAACAGAGAGCTGAGGACAGAGGAGTCAACCAGCAGCTGAGCAGCTGTGAAAGAAGCCGTCTCTCATTTCCAGCCAAGCAGCATCACACTGCCACCCCAATACGGCACTATAAACCACAGCTGTAACTTCTGCAAGATCCCATCCTCCCTCATAAGGGCACAAGTTGTAGGTAGTGGCTTTTATTATAAAAGGACAAGACTTGAAGGGTAGAGGGTCACAAGCACTGCTCGGCAGTGAACAGTGCCAGTCAGACCCACCGGACCACATCTGGCTGCCACACAAATCGGGGCTCCATCAGCACTAAAAGCTGCAGCCGATTTCTTCCCAGGAAGGAGGAGAGGGAGTCAAGAAGGGACTCTGAATTATTTAGGATAAAATCCTGAGAACTAGAGGTTTCAGAAAGACCACCTCACAGGCTGCAGAAATCCTATTGCCTCGTACACTGTGGCAGGCACTGCAAGCGTCCCAGCTGCAGGCAGGGACACACACCTTGCACAGCTTTATGTACACATACCATAGCTTGACTCATGCTACCAAACCTGTGACAGAGCAAACAAACTGATGACTTAGATTCTCAAGTATGACCAGCCATGGATGATTTCATACCATAAAAAAGTGAGAAAAATCTGTCTTAGATATACCTAACATCGTCTGTTTGCAATTCAGACAGGCCACAGAAACAGCAGCTTTTTAGCAGTCTGTTTTGAGTTGCCTTTTCCTTAGCAAGAGCCTGGCAGATCCCAGACTGGGGACAGCACAGAGCACCCCAAGGAGCCATGTTACAAGGAGGGCAGGTGGGGCTGACCTCTGTGAGTGCAAAGGACTGATATCCATGGCCTTGCTCGGTTTTATATGTCTCACTCAGACCTGAGCTTCTCAGAGTATTTTCCAGGATGCTCTTTCTGCTGACAACAGCAAAGCCCATCGGTACTATCTGCACAGAAACTCTGCAGTCTCATGTGAGAACATGGGGTGGGGGGGGGGCTGAAAGCAGCAAAACACACCATTTACTTTTGCACAAAGCCACTTTTGAAAAGCAACTGGGGATGGAGCATCAAACTCTTGTGCACTGAGCAACTCCATATCTGGCTGGGCCCTTGCTGGAGGGCGTTGCTGCACCCCTTCTGCACTGTATCACGCAGCTGCCAGCACTCGGGTGCTCTCCCACATTGCAGTCTCATCTCTGGTCCTCTCCCCTGCCCTGCCTCAGGTGCAGGCCCCCTTACACCAACTCTGCCTGCACTTGAAAGGAAGCCCTGCACCTTCTATCCTTTGATCACAGCTAATGCTGCTGTCATTAACTCCTATTACATCAGCCCCAGCAACCCAGCTGTGAGCAACTCTCCATTAGTGTATGACGCAAACTCTAATAGCCCCAGTTACACACTGCAAAGTGCATTTCTTTATTAAATACCTCATGGGCTACTGAGAACCAGTTTTCACCAATTCTTCTGGCTTTATTTACTGCTGCTTGTGTGTCGTGAGGAGCTGTGGAGCCTCAGCCCTCAGCCTTTCCCCCTGAGCAAGGCAGTGGTAGGTGAGGGCTGTGCACTGAGCTCCTTCCCGCCCCTTGGTTGGATCCATCACTGCGGTCCTTCCTGCCAGTGTTATGATAAGCAGCACCCGTGCTGCACAGGGATGAGTAGGCATTTCCCCAGCCCTTCTCAAGCTGTTTTCCAAGAAAACAGGATGGGAAACAGGTACATGATCCACTCCTGGCTTTCTGCACACGCAGGGAGCAGACTGAGTGGCTGCAGTGATGACGGCAGAAAGCTATGTCCTTCCAGGAGGCCCTGCCTTCCCTCAGCTCTCACATCAGGGACTTGCTTCCTACCAGCCTCACAGGGAAGGAGCCAAGGAGCTGCTGGGGAAGCCCTCATACCAGGCAGAGGGAGTACACCTAAGCTGTACACATTAAACACTAGCCAAAACTCGATTTGCACTTGCTCTTCTCAGTTTCTGCCAGCAATTGCTTTCTACTCCAAAACAGCCTCAACGCTTAACAGCAGGGCTGCGCTGGAAACACAGTATGAAGCCAGCTGTCATGTTCCTCTCCTCCCTGTACTGCCCGCCTTTGAAAGATGCATCACAGCAGGAAAATGACTCATCTGTGATAACAACATTAACAGGCCGCGCTGGCATCACTCCTGTCGCCAGGGCTGAAACATTGCATAAACATAGTCACTTTAAAAAAAATACCACGAGGGTTGCCAGCAAACACAGCAAATTCAGTCTGGCCACGCCAGACCAGGGCCAGGGCCAGTCACTGCTATGCAAGCGTGGGGCAGGTGGGAGGAAGGATAGAGCTGGGGGAGAGCCAGGGGAAAGCCCCAGGCTGGCACTGCTGCTGGGAACAGCAGGCAGGGTGGTGGTGGCAACTGCTGCTCTTGGGAGGGACGGCATCTCCCTTTTCCTTCCCAGCAATAGCTGCTGCCTCGCAGGCCCCAGCTGCTTCTTTTCCTACTCCTTGAGCTGGCTCTGCGGTTTGGCATTCAACAGCGAGAGCATCCAGAGCCGTGCTGCAGTGAACAGCCAACCCCTTTGATCACTCAACCATGGCCGAGTGTGGGAGCAGGGAGGCTCAGTTACACAGTTTTTTCTGGTTTGGGGGAGCTCAGCTCCAGCCAATTCTAAGGCTTCAAGCAATACAGCAAAGGTTCGGCACAGTCAGAGACAAAAATATATATTTATATAATCTACTGGCTCTGTTTTGGGCGTAATTTGCCTCTGTTAGGGAAATGCATCATCGTCCTGGGAACGCAGCCAGCCATATGATTCTCTCATCTTGTTTACAACTAGACCAGTTCAGTTTTAAGCCAGCTGTAAAAAAACTCTTTATCCAATTGTTCTATACAAGAGATGAAGCTACTAAAAATGCTATCAATGCAAACATCTCAGAGCTTAAAAAATACTAAGTCACTGTCATTCAAACATAGATACTATTGGAGGAGAGAATGGCAAAGGCTGGAATTAAGCCTGAGCAGTTAAACAGTCCTCCTGTGCACATGCGGTACTGCCAGGCTAACCGCTCGCTCAGATACTGCCATCATAAACAAGACGGTCCACACTGAGGGACTAGTTACCCCACGGTCCCTTTGTAGCTGTTGACCTGCACGCTGTTCAGATGATGCCGAGTAGAAGATTTCCTTGGGGACTTTTTCCTGTGTTGTTCATTGTTAGAGTACTTGAAGATGATCACGGGCAAAGTGCTCAGCACTGCCGTGAGGTTGAGGCTGGCGTTCCCTTTTCCTAAACAGTCAGGTGGGTCTGAGAATTAACAGGCGTCTTCTCCAAGGAGCTGATTTTTCTAGGGAACTTTATTCAAAGGCGCATCAGCTAGGGCTCAGCGCTTCTGGAAATCAGCTTTGAGAATTTAAACTTCGGCACTCAAGACAAATACAGAGCAATGACCAGCAGGAGAATTTGGTTCAAATAAATTACTTGACACCACACACAAACTTTGGCAGAGGCAGAAGAACAAGTTAGTTTTGCAGGGAAGCTGCTATTAGCTTCAACCAAAACAAACTCAATTTCCTCCTTCCAATCACATGCTTCATTTACTTCCAGCTCCTGTAATAGAGTTAGGCAATGGCCTTAGACATTCACCTTTATTGCAGCACCCCAGTCCATTATCAGGACAAGCTGACCCTTTGTAATGAACTAAGCAAGGGGTTCTTGGGAGAGAAAATAGCATGGACACAAGTACATGCAGAAGGGTTAGGAGATGCAAGCTAAAGTTGCCCAGGCAACTTGAAAGTATCATTCTTATTTCTGAAAGTCAAACCTAGCTTATACGCAACTGTGGCAGCATTTTTTGTACTTCACGTGTGATCTGAGAGCAAAATTCTCACCACTCCTTGAATTTGCCTTGTATTTAAAAAAAACAAAAAAACCTGAGACCTCAGGCTGTCACAGGTCATTTACTCAAGCTGGATCTCTTACAAGTCACTGCACAACATGCATCCAGAGTTAAGTAACTGATAAACAATACAGCTGTAAATGGCCACACTCAGTGTGAACTAACACAAGAGGAGGATTAGACATATCTTGCCATGGGGGTTCACAGACACTTGCTGACAGCTGAGAAATAGAGATGGAGGAATACCAGGCTCCACTCCAGGCACAGGGCTGGTCTAGTCAGCACCAATCTCACCCCACCCCAGCCAAATACGACTCCTTCCCAACCCTGCCAGCCCCCAACTCCACATACAGGAATGAGACAACTCCTTACGTGGGCACAGACAGCAAGGCAGATCCAGCAAACTAGGAGCATCGTTTCCTTTACTACGGTAATTTGAGACCAGCCTTCCCAAAGAGCTATTCCCAAACTCAACTGATCTAAAAGCTGATGCCAGTCAAGATCTCCAGGGCTTGTCTTCTTTCCTTACCAACTCTCATTCTTCTGGCCCTCAGTCCCTCCTGCCCACTTTCCTCCTCACAGCCTCATACTCCCAGCAAGTGCTTCACCTTTGGCTTTCCAATACTGTCACCGCCTGTTTCTGCTCCTTCCACCATGCTCCACCCTGTTAAGACTCCCTGGCCCAGTTTGTTCCTTTCCCTGGTCTGCTGGCTACCCCTTTAGCATTCAAACAGTTCCTTTCGCAAAAGGGGCTGGGCAACAGGACTGTGGGTACATACAAGACACTCTTCCTGCCCTTAACCCTGCTGGCACCCAATCTGGTCTGTTCCAGAACTGGAAAACCAAGCCACTAAAAATCAGTATCTCTAGAAATACAATAGGTACCTTTCCAAATTATAGCTAGTCCAGTCTCAGGTGACAACGAGAGATCCCCAACAAAAACTAACGCCAAGGCTTTCCTTCAGCTTTATGTCCTCACTCTAAAGCATGGATTCAACTAAGCTTTCTGAAAGGAAAGAAGAAATTTAAAAGTAGCAGAAATCCCACTTTGACCTTAAGTTACTTTTTAAATACAGCAGAGGTCAAAAACAAGCAGACACAGAACATGACAAATGTTGTCACAAGTTATTCCTTTGGTTCACAGTAACTGTGTGGCGGGTGAACTCTTATAATGGGCAGCCTCATGAAGAGGTAGTAGCACTGGCCACACCTAAAGATACTTCCTTTCCCCACACTACAGGCTACAGCTCCAGTGGGCATCAAGTGAAAGTCTAGACTTGGTAACAAATTTCTCTCCAGATTATCACTATAAGAGGCAGCAGGGTCCACAGGCACCTTTGTCTCCTGCAGCATTTAAATGCTGAACAGTGCCGAAATCTTAGTGGCAAGACTAGGCATGTACTCATTTGACTTGTGGATATCAGTAAGACGCCTCATAGCAGCACTAACATTTCAGTCACACCATCTCCCAGCCACCAGGTTCTGTTTTAGGAGGAGGCATACAGCAAGCATTAGTTCAACCCTACTTAAACAAGTCTTTGAGCATCAGTTTGGTTTCTAGACCAGAAGCCTTTTACCTATGAAGCGTTGGCTGCAAGCATTGGGAAGGAGGAAAGCAAGAGTGACTCTTTCAAAGGTCATGGAAAGATCCAAGCTAGACAATATTCCATTTGGTTCTTTTATTAGCAGAAGTTAAGAATACAGCAAGTAATAAGATCCCATCTTATATGGAACCATCACCAGAGTCCCCAACCATCAAAACCCCAGAATGTGCTTCATTGCTTCCAACAGTAAGCAATTTTTAAAAAGAAATATACTGAACAAGGCCACTATTTAATGGGGAAGGAAAGAAGCTGTAGGTCCTAACTATTCTATGGCAATAACCTGCACACAGAGCAAGCAAGCCTCTGACCGCTGAGAGTAAGGCATTCAGGTGCCAACCTGGGAAGAGTTCTCAGCAAGAGCTACAGAAAAGTGCACAGCTAGGTTGTTTTTTATTGGAACACACAAACAGAGAGACTGATTGGGTTACGAATAGCAGGTGGAGTACTGTGTTTTTGTAATAGTTCTGTGCTGTTAGGACCAGGTTACAATCACCCTTCAGGGAGCGAGTGTGGGATGATCCAGGATGGAGACTGCCACTTCTGCTGGTACTGATACAGAGGTATCCCAAAGCGCCTTACAGACAAGTCTGCTTCCGATACGTACCATACTTTTCTCAGATAACAGCATATTTCCTGCCAGGCAACTCTTTATATTTTTGTCAGAGATGCCAGTGCTGATTAGCCCTCGCATCCAGTTAATACTGCTCTCTATTTCATTTTAGTACCACACAGACCAACGATAACCTTCTTCCGGCCTACTGGCATCCAGTGTAGTGATCTGACTGAGAACACATCCCTCTAGCTTACAGCCACTGCTGCAGTACCTCTTTCTGCAGCTGGCCTTGCTTTCAAAGGCTTTAAAAGGATTCTATTCAGGGTGAAGTCTTAATATCCAGTAAATTTTAGGAAGGCATTCTGCTTCTATTTTACTCATTTTGCAAAGGAACTCCCTGAAACACTCAGTGATATCCAGGGTACTGGAAGATCGTTGCAATTCACATTTTTTTCCTTGAAGGATGAAAATTTAAACTTGCAGGAGTCTGAAAGAAAAAAAAAAGAAAAAAACCCACGCACCTTTACCTTCCTGCTTTGTGAACTAAAGCATTTTATGAGCTGTTTAACTCATCTACAAGAGAGGTAATTGCTCTGAATTTCCAACGAAACACTCCAAGCAATAGCTGTGCCATAACAAACAAAACGTTCAAGTTTCATCTAATGACTCCGAAGATTCTCCTTCAGTCTGGCTTCTGACTGGGCTCCAAAGATCAAGCTACATCAATTAAACAAGAGAAAGCTATATACGTCCCCTTACATAGGGGGTGTATCTGCTCCACAACAATCCAACTGAACTCTACTTTAGAGTTTAAGAAATATCAGCAATCCCATTGCTAAAGCACAGATGGGAAGCAGACCTTAAGAACAAAAAAGAAAAAGGAGAAAGGAAAGGAACCACATTGGGCTGACTGTGGATTTTTCTCTTAAAAAGAAAAACCTGCAAAACCCCTTGGCATATGGAGCCTGACACATGAGAAGGTAATGTGCTTGAGGTCTGCAGTAACTGCTAACTCCAAGTCTTGGAGCACACTGCTTCTTCTTTCCAGTCAATCTTAACCTCATCTCTGTTTCCTCTCACATGCTCAACTATCTTTTGACAAGTGCATTACCATCATTTTTTCAGACAAAACAGGGCAGGCCCACAGACAGCAACCATGTACTCAGCTGGGTCCTTTGGGTGTAGACAGGCACTGATGGAGTCGGTCTGTTTGCCATTCCACACGCAGTTATCCCATCATGCTCCAATTCATATGGTAAGAACCAAAACAACTTACTGTAGGCTCCATTATCCAAAACCACATAGGCCAAGCAAGCTTGGAAGGCAGTGGTCCCACACGCTTGGGCAGGGCTCAGGTTTACCTTTTGAGTTCCTTGAGTAAATAAACTTGCTAACGCTGACCCAAACAACAACTTGATTAATCCAGCCTTCACAACCCTTGTGCACGCATACTGCAAGTGCTGCGAGGACCCCACATTGCCCAGGGCATGTTGGTTACCAGGAAATATCTGCAGGGACAACATACCTCACTCCTGGGAATTTTACCTGGTCCTCCTGCAGTCATTTATTTTGTGCAAAATTGAAACAGTGTGTGGTACTTGCATGTTGCATTCTTTACAAAAACCCCTTCTCCCCCCACCCATTGTTTAAAACATTTATATAAATTTTATTTAAACAGAAAGTTAGAAATCTTATTTACAATTTCTTTTTCTCCCAAAAGAGCATCTAAAATCAAATCCCAAACCCTCCAAGAGGATATAAATTTAAGATTGATTTAAAAAAAAAAAAAAAAAAAAAAAAAAAGGAAACTGCTAAGCTATCCCTCCCAACATCTACAAATAAATATGGCATTGAACAGAAGCCGATTTGGAAAGGGTCCTCTGTAGCTCAATTTGTAGATCCCAAGAATAAATTAGGGCTTCAGAATTTCCTGGTCTTCAAATTGATTCATTCCATTGCTTGAGGTATAGAATTTATCTTGGTTAGTCAGAATCCCCATGAAGGTCCAGGCTCCATCAGCTGAAACTTGGATTCTTCTTAGGTATTCATTTTGCTAACCAGTATGCTTCAACCGCGCTTGCGGTATTGTTTTGGTTACGATCTTGGGCTGAAGGCTGGTTTTACTGCATTCCCTCTTCTTCTGTGCAGCCTCCTCCAACCGTGAAACGGAACTCCTGAAGGTTTGAAACTCCGTGGAAATGCACAAAAGCACCAGCCACTACAAAGACGTGAAACAGCTGATGGGAGTGGAACTGTGAAAAACAAAATACTTCCGTTCAACTGGGGTATTTTGGGTTCTAGTGATGCCCTGCCTCCAAAAAGAGCCATATATTCAGCTGAAGTATACCATAACACATAGCAGTACCTCAAGTCACAAGCTGCAAAGTTATTTCAATTCTGTATTAAGCCTATCCCTCTCCTATCATTAGGAAGAGGAAGCAGCAAACTCTCCACACAACCCTTTCCACAGTCAAGCTTAGTCACCTGATCAATCAACAAATGCTACACAAGTGCTGCAGCATATCTTTGGTGAAAAATGAAGTTAATTTTAGAGCTTTGGCCAAAAGGCTTAAAAAGCACACTTTTAAAATTAGTCCCTCAACAACTAACAGGCACAACGCTCTCTGGCAGTTTATGATTAGAGGGACTATGTCACACAGTGAATGGATATGAACTCTGCTCTGGTCATGGGCATGAGTTTTATTAAGTAGGTTTTCAAAACATTGTTATTTTATTTCTCCGTCAGAAGGGAACAGAGCAAAAAAAACAATGCTATATTATATTAAAACCCTGAAACAACCAGATGTTTTGAATGAATGCTCAGGATGCTAATGATTATAGTATAGCAGACCAAAAGCCAGGAGGGAGCTACATGACAAAGCATATTCTTGTTTGAGGGAAGACATACCAATACGGACAATGGTCTTGAATAATTTCTGTAAACGTGCATTTGCAGGCTCCACGGAAAGCTTAGAAAGAGGAGTTGGTGGCACATCAGAGCTTTTGGAGCCTAGCTCAATATCATAACAAGGTTTTGTTAGGCTATTTAAACAATAGTGTCTCTGGTATTTCTTCACCTGGCAACTTGGTGCTGTGCAAAAGCCACTCCATCCAGGCACCACTCCTGTTTTAATCCTTCTGTAGGTGCCTTAAACTAATAGAAGTACAGTGGCACGACATCTTTCCCAAATGCCCACCTGCCTCTATTCTTTAGTCTCATTCCACCTCATTTCTTTCCTCCACATTCCCCACACATTTCCCCTACCCAGTCTTCACAACCCTTTTCCTCATCCCCATTCACCCACCCCAGTTTTCAGCCTTCAGGACCAGAGATCGCTCCAAAGTTCATCAGCTCTATCCAGTGTTTTCACTGGACATACAAGATGAGGAGCAAGACATGGTGAGGATCCTAGAGAACACACTGAACATCAGAAACAGCCATGGGCTATTGCTTCCCAAGATAACACATGTGCTTGTAGGATCCTCAACACACAGACATGCAAAGCTGCTAACCCATCAGTAAAAGCTACCACCTGTTAAAGCTACCAAGTACACGTGCTGAGATAAGCTTGCACACCAGTAGTTACCTCAGATCAGCTTGTGGTAACTCAATGAGAGAGGCACCAGATCAGCTGGGCTCAGAGAGCCCACAGCTGTTTGGCCCCTTAAGACCAAAGATTCCAGTGGAGCAATTCAATACTTGCAAGAAGAAAACACCAACACAGCATCCTCTAGCCTCAAAGAGAGCTGTCTTTCAGGTTGGTCTCCTCATCCAGTCATTTTGTACACTCACCCAGATATCACACTTGCCAGGGAAGAATCTCTCCGGGATGCGGGCAGCATATAGTGCAGCACCAGTGATGTACAGGCATGCCATGAGTGCCAGCCAGCCTATTTGCCCCATTGTGGCTGCCTTCAGGAGCCCCTCAGAGATGACAAAGTGCAGGGTGGGAATAACCCCACTAAGACCCAGACCTAGAAATACTCCTAGGAGGTTTAAAAAAAAAAAAAAAAGTGGGAGAGTCAGGTTCAAATACAGTGGCAGTAAAGGGAGACAAATAAATAAATAAATGAAAACAACGGAGGGCTCACTCAGTGCTTGTAAAGTAGCAGAAAGGTGACAATTTTTGAAGCCGGAGGTCCCCAGGATAGCTTTAACGGAAAGTAAGCTAAAGAATACAGAGACTTCCTTGATATACCAGAAGTTACTTGATTTAATATTCCTGCAGATACTGAAATCTTTCATTTAATAACTGTGTCTGCCAGCTTTAACACCACATAGAGCCAGTTACATTTCTTGGACTGTAGAGGGCACTGAGACTACATGAACTATGTCACACTTAACCATAATCTCTCAGGAGCAAGACAACAAGAGTGACAACAAGACTATTTACCATATAGGGTACAAGTAATCCTAGGAAACAGAACAGTAGCATCTGAGGCTCATTTGCCCTATATGAGAATATAGTTTACTGATTTAGATTCTAGCAAAATCTATTTTGGATCCTTTGACCATGTGAGGAGAAAAGCTGGGCTCTGTGTCTCAAATATGTATTTTATTTAATCAAATCATTCAGATTAATTCAATCATTCAGATGATTTGCTCATGTCTGAGCCTATTATTACAGAAACAAAACAAGCAGTAGAAGGAATATATGCATATATACACCAAACAAATCAGTCACTTTTCTGGAAAGCAGAGTTGCTAGATAATGCTAGAAATTTTCCAGAGAAAGTTTTCCAGAGAGCAAAATTCCTAGATAATGCCAGCAATATCCTGTACTATCTTTCCTATTACACGTGTCACTGACCATTTCAGGACTTGTGCTAGCCCTTATCTGTGCATCCAGAAGGCTATAATCAGTGCTGAAAGAACACCAATTAAGTTGCCAATCCAAGAATGTTAGCATTCTGTAAGATTTCGCACGCTCCTCAAGACTGTTTCTTCAAGTGATAAGTAGGAAGGAGGACAGACAGTCAAGAAGCAAAACAATTAACTTCAGGTCTTACCTGCCCTTACACCCCGGTATTGAGGGGTTGCAAACATGTCCCACTGTGAGACAATTATGGCTGCAATGCCCAGGACACAAATCACAATCAAGTAGATGAAGCAAGGCTGTGGGTTGCAATAGAAGGAGTAGTACAGCCACGGTACAAAGCTGCCCATAATGAGAAGTGCAATGCCAGAATAATCCAGCCTGGAGCAGAACAAAAAAATCAATTTGATTTAAAACATGAAACTTAGGAAGTTCTCATACCAACACTCTCTTCCGTAGTACTTACACCAAGGGCCTACTTAGCGCAAATGAAGTTATTCTCACTACCACAACTCATTGCCTGACTGCATCATTCCTGCCAGTGCCCCACTATAGTAGCGGATTACCTTGATAGGCAACTAGTAAGGCTATTTTGGACAGTCATCAGCAAGACTATATAGCAGCCTTTAGATCAAAACCTTTTGAAGGAACCTCAGATTTAACCTTTGGATGAGAACAAACACAGCACAAGACTGTTCTGAGCACACAAAAAAAGGCACACAGTATGTTATGAGAGCACAGCCAATACAAACACTTTTCTGTTTGGCAAGTACGCGTTAGGAAGGCATCAGCTTAAGTGACCATTGGGGAATAACATCACAATTTTTCAACCGAGCCGTTTTTCTAGACACCAGTGAAGAAAAGAAATTCCCATAGTCACTGCTTTTCACCACTCCCTGACAAAACGTTCCTGCAATAGAAGATGAAGTTAAACCTTCAGTAGAGGACTTTAATTACTGGGTTACTTTAGAGATGGTCTTGCAGATTTCACAATTCTAGGTTGAGCAGTCTGAGGAAAAGCAAGGTATTTAGCATCTAAGCCAAAGCCGAATGCTTAGTAAAACTTTAAAAAAAAAAAAAAGAAAAAAGAAAGAAAGAAAGAAAAACACATACACCACACCTAAAAAAAAAAAAAGGTATCTTGATAGACATGGTGAAGCTGTCTTATGTAAGAAAATTTAAGATTCAAAAGTTACCTAAAATAATTTGAGATGACAGAAATGAGTGGCAGTCACATTAAAAATTCAAAGTCCTGTAACTAAGCTCCAGGTATATTACTTACAGCAGTAATATATAGGTACATGCCTGCCAAACAATGGTAAAGAAATAGTTTCAAGACTAAAACAACAGCACAGAAACAGTCATGCTGCAACAAATAATGACTAGAAGAAACTGCACTGACTCTCCACTCAATTCTGTTCCAAAATACAGGCAGTCATGTAATGAACAACTCCTACACTGGAGCTCCTGGCAAGTTCCCAGCCCTGTTTTCCCAACTGTTTCCTATGGGGCCTACCCTGTCCTTTAGGCACTTACTTGGAGAAGAGCCGAGAAACACCTTCCGAGTGGCAATAAACTGTGTGGAAGAGCCATGAGAAGGAGAGGCAAAGTATGGCTCCCAGAAAGAACAATCCAACAACTACTTTCTCCTGCACAGGTGCTACAAAGGACATGTTTGGCCGGAACATGTAGAAGATTCCCAGACACAGGAAGAACACACATCCTGAATAACAATAAGGCAGAAAGGCGTCAAGTTCATACAAACTGAAAGCTTTTTTCCAAAAAAATTAATTAGTGTATGGGACTACTAAATGCAGAAACTGCACGACAACCAGTGACACTCATACTGAATAAAGTACTGCCCTACTTCATTTAGGCAATTACGTTTCTGTCTCAGACTGAAGCAATACAGACCCGCATGGACTCTATTTTAACTTGTTTTGCAAGAATGCCTGACAACTGGCTGGACATTCCCAAGTTATGAAAAATAAAACAAACTGTTGCTAAATATGAAAGGAGAAGGACATAGGTCTTTTTTAAAGCTCAAAGAAATCTCTTCCCTTCAAAGTTCCTTGCAAGTTCAAAACCATTCATACAAGTTGCAACATAGGTCTGTACTTGTGGCAAGAAACGTGACTTCAGTTAACACCTGCAGGACTTTGGAACAGAGAATATCTATTGGTATTTTATTAATCATCAGGAAGTTGAATGTCACAATTAAAGTCCCATCCAGCCTTGATGGGAGAAAATTGAGGGAGAATAAGTTAATTTAACAGGTTACTAGTGGGAGGATAATGCTTACTACTACTCCTTCCTATCTTGCTCTCAAAGAAAAAAGAGCAATAAGACCAATAACCGTTAAAGCAAACTGAAAATACCTAGAAGATGTGTCCAGATGTTACCAGTCTCTGTGTGTATTCTGAAGATACTCTTGAAACAAGCCCGAAAGGAAGGCATGGGCGGTCTGTGTCCATGCAGCAAGTAGTCGTTGTCCTTTAGCCAGTCAGGCAGAACATCGTGCGGAATGACTCTCCATCGGCCCTCCCACACCTAGAGGTTAGAAGGGTTTGGTTAAATGCAGGGAACTGAGTTCCATTAATGCATGACAAGAGTCAGAAAATCCAAATTAGTAAAACTGCTAAGTTAACATGTGAGTGCAGTGAACAGAGAAATGGGTCTATGGGACATCTCTGGGTAAAAGGCTTTACACTTGAAATATAATGCTTAAGTCACTCTTCCCTATTCTACTCAATGGATCATTATGAACTTGAGCTGCACCAGAAAGAAATACTGCAACATTTCATTTAAATGGGTAAGCTATTGAGCTTTTTGCTGCTTAACGAAGGGAAAACATCTAATCTAGTTGTACATTGTGTTATGTAGGTTTTCACAGATCATCCTTTCCATTTAACTGAAGAAAGTGGCCTACAGCTAGTCTACCCATCAGCACTAACTCAGGCTATAAAGCATGAATGGACAAGAGAGTCTAGTGAGAAGTCTCCAACCACTTATCCAGGTTAGAAAAAAAACGTCTCCCACATCCCCAGAACAAGCAATGACAGATCACTTAAGGCAACAGATCCACGACTCTCCCAGTTCTGCCAGATTTCTTCTTAACAGAGACAGAGAGAGAGAACGTGTGCACACATCTGTTCTTGCAGCTGATTCCAAGTGAAAAAAGTGTGCATAGCTGCTCTTAGCACTGCTTCAGAGACATGTAATCTTCAGTTTCGCTTCAGAAGCAGCACTGCCAAGTAGAGGGGGATCAGAGAAGTGCTTTATGTACCGGGGTCGTTTCTGCAATGTTCCTTGGATTTGCCGTCTGGCTAGTAATACGGGAGACAGCCTGAAGACTCCTGCAACACTAAGTTTAAAAACTACATTCTTATTTCAGTTTCAATATTAAGAGTCCATAGTGTTTTTAATCAGTTCTGTTCAATCCTTCCCCAAGACAAAAGTAATCAGAATAACCATCCCAGGTAAAGACCGGATGCTCAAAATAATAAAAAAAAAATACATCCAATAAAAGAATCAGCTTACTTCATGAACCAAAAATCTGAATTTTGAACAGCAAAAGGAATTCATTTTACATAATCTACTCTACAAAGCATCCAAAAAGGGGAAGAACGCATAGAAAAAAAAATAGAACACATAGGAAAAAAAAAAAAAGGAACACCTAGTAAGTAGGGTCCCTCTGTAAAAAACATCAAACAACAGTTCATGAAACCAGCAGGACCAAACATATGAAAGTAAAACTTTCACTAAGGAAAAAGGGGAAGAGAGCAGTAGACATCATGACTTCAAAGTGTAGCAAAAACTGAGTTAAGGTCAGCAATATTTACAAAATCTACAATGGATTTACTTAGCTATACTTTTTATAGAATCTTTTTTCCCTCCTATTTGAGTAACAGGCAAAGCTAATTCTACAACTGATGCAAGTGGTGCTGTGAAAGCAAAACGTCTGCAAGTCCAAAGAAGCCTGGAAAAAATTGGCCTTGGAAATGAAAGTGCCTTGAACCAGAAACACCAGAGGCCGAAAGCTTTTATTCTGCCTTGCAGTCACAGGTGTTTCTCAGAGGCTCATCAGTTGCACGATCAGCTTTAGAGTTTCTACTTCAGTTTGTACTCCCTGTTGTTCCATGCTTTATAGTTTATTCATTTATGGCAGCCTGGGATCTCAAAAGCCTATAATGTTAGTGGTTACAAGAGATGCCCATTCAGGGATGGCGTGTACCTGCTCTTCCCCACGTTAGTACTGCAGTTAGTGGCTGCTGGTAGATAGTCTGTTGGTCATTTGAGCTTCCTAAACAAGGAAACTACTTGGGTAGATTTTCGTTTCTTTTTAACATATTCTTACCTTGCACACAAATTCTTCCATTCTCTCCATAGCATGGTGGGCTTGTAGAAGAGGTGACATACCCATAAACCCTTCATCTTCTTGAGGGGATTCATTATTGTGGTTATTATCCTCAGAACTCTGGAGAGAAAGAAGAAAAAAAAATATATTCTGTAGGAATACTGACAGAAAGGCAATGTTTAACATACAAAACCACAATTATTTGAGGTCCTAACAAATAAAGAAGTCTTCTTCCCTTGTACTGTGCTGAGGAAGGAACCCAAAATAACCAGGAAAAATATTAACATGTATTTCACATTCTCAGATACCTCAGAACAATTCACATGTCAAAGTATTACACAGCTTGCACTTGTTTTCCCCAAGTATGGAAGAAAGTAGTGGTGTTCTGTAAGGCACACTTCTTTACAGCCTGTAGCCTATCCACCTCTACAGATAGATTACTTCCTATTTTAGATTTTAATGCCACCACCCCTGCCTTAACGCCACTATAATATATCTGGCATTTTAGGATAAGAAAGAGCAAGCCAAAGGCAGGAACTCATCAACCTAGTTACAATTGCTTCATCTCAAATTTCAGTTCAAATCTGGAGTTCTATTCTGTTTAACTAACACTTCTGTTTATCTCATACTCCAGTAAAAGACATTTACTCGTCTTTGACTTTCAACGTATTCCAAAAACTAGTATGAGACTTCTTCCAGTTAGAAAGCAATAACAGACATCAGAAAGTTTTAAACAAAATTCAAATAAAGAGAAATATCCATAAACTCAAGGCCTATCGAGAGCTATGGAGGGGAGAAGGAAAAAAAGTGCCCCTTGATTTTCAGTCGAGATATAGATAGATAGATATCTCACTACCAATTTTACAGGAAAGAGTCACTAGGCTTGGTAATTTTCTAGACTATGTTGACTTCCCATTTAAGTAATGCCACATAAGTAATTGACATATGATATGTTCCAGCTTTCCATTTAGAAAAAAGGGGATAGGGGAAGAAAAAGCATGTCTACCTTCCCCTTTACTTTCTACAATGCTCATAGCCCATCAGCAACTCCATTTAACGCTTCAGCTTCCAAGGTAAACAAGTTAGAGAAAGCAAGAAAGGAGAGAACGAACTTTTTGCACTCTTCAAGCTCAACGCAGAAAGCTGCCACATACCCGGTGACCAAGTCAAGAAAGCCCCACAATCCATACGCAGACTGGCCTCCTCCACATTTCACAAGCTATGACACTTTCTCCCTTCTATTCCCATATCAAGGTTAACAACTTGATATTAAGATTAGTTACCGGTAATTCAGTTTACAGTGACTGAGAATCTAATATATAACTTCATATACTTTACTAATGAATTCACAGTAATATTCATGTTAATAATATCCTGTTTGAGTTTTGCATCAGAAATCAGATCTTGCTATGCATTTGTTCCACGTTATGGCTCCCTTCTTAGAGTAACACCTTAACTTATTGGTGTTTCGAAATAGTTATCTGAACAAGCTCCTTAAAACTTTTTTTTTTTTTTTTTAAAAAAGGAGACCTAAACTTACAGTCCACTATCTAGATTCTTCAGTCTTTTCTGGAGAGGGAAGAATGACACGCTAATACTTACTTATACATCCAAGGGTTGCAGTAGCCCCTGTAGCTTCAGTTTTTGAAGAGGTCCCCTTACATCATAGTTTTGGATCCAGTTTTACTTATTGAGATTACACATCCCTATTATATAATACATGCTTTGTATACTATGTATGACCTCACATTTGTCCACACAAAGACAACTTGATTGACTACATGAAGCTTAGCATGTAATTGGTACTGCCTACTCACCTTCCTTTATCATTCCAGCCACCACACCATCTGAGCAAGCTTGGGCAATGACTTCATATTTTATAGCAGACTGATATAAATATTGATCAGTTTTACGCAGATCCTACACCAGTATAAGACAGCATTAGATACTCTCTCACTACCTAGATTATCCCATTAATTCTACTGAGAAAGGCATCAGGCAACACAGATACGTTAATAGGTTTAACATCTTTCTAATATACATGGATGTCCTGTTAGACTAGAAAGCATACAAAACAAATTTGGTTTAATTCTCACTCAGGAATATTCACTGACATATTTCCCACACTATCGATTTTACTAGCTGCTTCTACTTACGGATCTCTATTTTAGGATTCTCAGTTTTCAATATTATTTATAATTCACGCAGGGTCTGGATAAGATACTCATTATGGCAATCTGCACACACTTACAGTCAAAGAAATCTTCAGTTTCCAAGACCTTATCTTATGGAAAGGCTGGTATTTAAGTTCCAATGCACCTGATAAAAGATGCACTGCTCTGTCTTTTGGCTACCCTAGAATTCCCTCCCCCAGCATCACACAATGACCAGATGAATGGGGCAGTTCAAGTTAGTAATCATTAGTTTACAAAACTGAGTGGACTGAAGGAAAAAAAAAAAAAAAAGGTTCTTCACTGAATCAAACCCTGTATTCGTTGTAGTCTGCCCAGTGACTCAAAGCCAAAAAATGACCACTTCCCCTTCCCCACATACTCCCATTTATAGAATGATGGGAAGGCTTAATTTGAACAGACCATAGGGCTTGAAGCACTGCTATTTATGAGCTAATCCAAAGTTTTTGCATTTTGGCAAAGTGCCTACAAACAAATCATTACTGAGCTTCTTTCAGTGATAAGAAGAATTTGTATCATATATACAGTCCAGATTACTACCAGAAAATGGAAGTGATTTTACTATCTCCTTCCTGTTATTAAGCTGCAAAATTAGCATTCAAGAAAAAAAAACTAAAGCTCCCGCTAAGGAGGAAAAATAAAGTCCATGCTGGAACATCTGTCCTCTCTCAACTCCTTCCTCTAATATTCCATTTAAAAAAAAAATAAAATAAACAGTAAACCATGCCTGTTGCAAGCTGAAAATATATAGCTGGAGGGCAACACCAATGCCATTTTTCATTTGGAAACCTAAAGGAGTCTATTGACCTTCAAATTCTTCAGACAATGACTGAAGAAAAAAAGCTACTACTTTTCTGTTCAAAAGGCGCACTGTTGTTGCAAAGATTCCACTGTGACAAGCTCCTTTATCTTAGGATTCCCATATTCTCTCTTCTTCCGTCGATTACATCAGTAATTCAAAAATACTTCTAGAACCTAACATAAGCAACCCTGTGCTTTAGGACCTGTTTTCAAAAATTTCTAAATTCCACCCGTAGAATCACATTTTAATATTGGGGAAACAGAGAGGAAATAATTCCACTTGCCTATGACTGTGCAAGAAGTGAGAGCCCAGAACAAAACCCTAATACTCCCACTTCTAGTGCAGTATGCTATATCCAGACCCAAGTACTTCCAGAAGTTATTTTTGCCTCTGTATTTTCCAGATTGTTGGCTCAAAGGATTTCCACTCAGCTTACATTTCAGATGCTCTTTTGCGATGTCTAATTTACTCGACTACTTCCTTTTTTTTTTTCCCTTTAATCTAAAACTTCGAATAAATAATTCTGAGAAATTCTTAGAGCATTCGGAAATATTTGATTTTGAAATGAAAACCCTCATTCACTTGCAACAAGCAAACTTAGATGATCATCATCATCTGCTATCCTTCTGTTGCACGTGTGCAGCAAAGCCTAGAGCTAGTCTTTCATACAAATCAGAAATCATGGCTCTATATACTTACACCCTAGAGGGGCTGGATACTTAATTCTGTGGAAACACCAAACTTAATCCTTCCAATTTTAAACTTACCACCTTTGCAGATGCATAAAACATGAAAGCTACCAACAAACAGCACAGATACCTAATGATATGTAAACTAGGGAACAGATGCGTCCTGAATTGAATAAACCAGACCAGAAAATACACTAAACTTAAGGGACAAGTGACAATAGTTGGAAGAAGGTAGCTTTACTGGTTTAAGTATATGTACTTTATTTTGGGAAGTTTTAAGATTCTTTTGTGACAGTAACGATAGACAAGGTAAAAGAAAGCAGATTCGATTATATCTTTTTGTCCAGGATTCCAGGCAACATACTTCCAGAGACTGATCTTGTTCTAAACAGGAAATTCAGAGAATCCTTTGGTAGAGATGAAAAAAGGCTCAGTGCTAAAATCAGGACTTAGAGCAGTGGAACAAACAAGAGCAAGAAACCTTTCTGTATTGCATGGTGCCCTACATATTCTGGTTTTAGTAAGTTTATTTTAACATTAGAATCTCATTCTTTTATAGCAATGGCACAAAAGACACAGAATGTGTTTACCTTTAATACAAGAATTTGTTGCCTGAATGCCATCCAAAAAAATCAGATCACACAGCAAAAGGCCTTGTGATAGACAAAAAAAAAAAAATACAGTAAAACTTGCTCTAGTAAATTCAACACACTTGTCTAACTACACCAGCTTATCCTTCTCAGGAAGGTTAACAATTTCTATATAATCACTTTCAAATCTGTTAGCAGGTACACTGTTTATTAATGCACTTACTGTGGGAAACCTTGCCCGAAGTCAAGCCACAATAATAGAATGAGATTTCGGAAACCCTTTGCCCACTTCTGAGAAGGCTGTGTTTTTTGGACTTCAAATGGTACAAGTATAGTTCCTTGAGGTCAGTTTAAACATATACAGAAAGTTTGCTTTGAGAGTTTGCACAAAATTATGATCTTGTACAGGCAACAAGCAAGCCACTGTTCATTGCTTTAGACTGCAATGCCACCAGAAAATATCCTTTTACCTGCGTTGTGTTCATTACAATGTGCAAACTGCAACAGAAATGCTACTTGAATGAAGCAACCTATAAAGCTTACTGTACCTAAAGTGGTCCTGTCTCCCTCACCCCTATCTTTTGTCACACTGTTTCTGGCACTCTGGCCCTTGGATTGATTAGCTGATCCAGCCTGCTAATCTGGCTGAAGTTACTTACATTTTTGCTCTCTAAACTTTCTTTTACATAATCAAATTGAATCAGATCACCAAGAGATTTAAGGAGCTCAAGCTAGTGTAACAGAAACAAAGGGAGCATCAGCTCCTGTTTTTACTGAGATCTGCTGCAGATTACTTTCTGTGGACCGTTATTTTCAAGAACAAGTTTCCATTAGGTACATATCAACT